CCCCTTCCAGATATGTAACTTGGGCAAACTGCTTCCCCTCCCTGAGCTCTCCTTTGGGATTAATGACTGCAACGTTGCTGTAGGGATTAAATAAGAAAAATTATTCCAAGTGCCCACAACAGGGCCTGAGACATAATCAGCCCTTTGCAATGATAAGTTACTTCAATAGTGTTGTCATTTCGGCGGCTAAACTAAGGCAGCGCAAATCTCAGAACCCCACCTTCCAGATCTTGACCAATATTCAGCATCACGGACCTGCTTTTTTCCAGGAAATAACATATTATAAAGCACATGTTGGGGACTAGATGTTGTGCTGAGCCTTTTATGTACATGATCTCGTTCAGTCCACACAACACCTCTGTGGAGAGGAAACTGAGGCCCAGGGAGCCGACAGTGAGGAGGCTGGGACTGATTCCAGGCCTGGAGCCTGCCTGGGCGGGGGGGGGACCTGACTTCAAAGCCCACACACTTAACCACTGCCCTGTAAGGAGGTGGCGTCTGCCGACACCCACTGTCAGCTCCCAGGAGGGCTCCTGGGAGTAATTGCAGGCGCCGGACGCCCTGCCCAGCCGTGGCCCGTGGCCATCCCTGATGAGCACGCTCTCGCTCTGGCTGCCCCTTCTTTGATCTCCTTCCCTTACGGAGCCGTCTTCCGAGGATGAGGAGGGGACACCGGAAAGAAGGGTTTTCGGGGAAAGTTGTGTTTGTGCCGGGAGGGAGCAGGGATGGGAAGCTGCCTGCTGGTCGGCTCCTTAACCAGGAGCCTCTGAGAGCACATCCCTCAGGCGGCCCTGCCTGTCCCTCGGTCCTCGGTCCTTTCGAGGAGGCCATTCCTCTGGCTGGCTGTCAGCTGGCCCTTTGTTAGGTGTCTCCTGAAACCAGGAGGAGGGCGGCCCTGGAAGGCCTCTCCCGGGTTATTTTCAGGCGCTGATGGGGCTTCCCCCGCCCTCGGCCCTCCCTCCTCCTTCCGCCCCAGGCTGCCCTTTTGTTTGCCCCCCCCCCCTTTATTTTACTTGGTTTCCATTTGAGAGGTGCCTGGTGAGTAACTGCTTTCCATAATGTCATGATTAATAAAAAGCATGAGACTTGGAGTGGGACAGACAGGTTTGAAAATTAGCTTTGCCCCTCACTGCCAGGGCATTAACTGAGCCATGGTAACCTTTGATCCCCTCTTCCCACCCTTTCCTGGGCGAGGAGCTGGGTGGCTCAGTGGAAGGAAGGACTGAGTGACGGAGGACAGACGGACTCCCAGTCTTGCGGCGACAGTGAGAGCTCGCAAACGCTGCCTGCCTTCCTACCCCCCATCTCGTCACCGGCACAGTCTGTCCCATTCTTTCAGTTCCTAAACTGGCTGAGCTTCTCCGAGCTTGGGGCACTGGAGGGTGCCCTGAGGCCACTCTCTGAGCCCCGAGAGAGCTTCATTTCCTTTTTGCTTAGCTGGATCTTCTCTTACCAATCCTCAAGTCTGGCTTAAGCATCCCCACCCCAAAGGGCCGCACGTGTCCCCCTAGCCTTAGGCATTGTCCACATCCGTTCCTTCTCTCACCACCCTTGGCTTTCATAGGGCTCATGATCATTTTAAGCTGTGCCAATTGTTTACTTCTGTTCTCCCTCATTGGCTGTCAGGAAGGACATCAAGCAACTGACACCGAGTTTGTGTTCAAATATCAGCTGGGTATATGGTTTTTTAAAAAATTACATAAATCTCTCCTCCAGCCTCAGAAAACAACTGTCTCCTTCACTCCGCCACTGCCTCCCTCCGAAACTGGGAACTCTCCGCTTCCAACCCCGGAGGGCAGCACACAGTCTGGCAGGTCTTCTCCTGTGTAAGTCACCCAGGGCTCTCACGGGCTCCCTGCGGGCAGAACCGTCTGCTGTGCGGGTCGCCGGGCCTCGCAGTGTGATCAGCGCCCCTGGTTCCTAAACGCAGCAGCACTTCCCAATCCTGGGAGGCTCCAGACACAGCAACACGCTCCCAGACGGCCAGAGGCCTGCAGCCCTGCTGGGAAGCAGGAGCCCCTCCACCCCGTGGCTCCTCTGGACGGGCACTCCGGGAGGGATGACCACCCTCAACTCAGAAGCCAGGTCGGCCTTCGCCGGCTTCCAGTCCCAGCACAGCTCTTAGCAAGACTGATATTCAGAAGCAAAAAGAAATGTGGAAAACATGTTTCTGTGTGTGTGCTAATCATGTTAAGAAGCAGGAAAGTACTGCCAGAGTAAGTCTTGGTGGATATTCCCTATTTTCTTTTGCAGGGAAGATAGACTTTCGCTGAATCCCCACAGGCAGAGGAGGTTGAACGTGCTATCAGGACGTCCCGGCAGTGGGCTCAGGTTCTAATGGGAAATAACCTCCGAGTCACTTTTCTGAGGATCAAAGCGTGAAGCCCACAGCACACGCGCCCGATAGAGCTGATTCCGAGAGGGCTCCGGGCTCATCGGGAAAAGAGCCCGTGGGCTTCCTGTTGCCACACTGCCCTGAGCAAGCGGAGGGGATGGAGCAACAGATCTGGCCAGTGCTACTGATCAGTGTAGTTCGCTAGGGCTGTCTGCGATCGTGACAAGCATGCTCACTGGTGTGAGACGTTTCATTGGTGAGAAAACAGTTGAAGACCTGCTCTTGGTCCACTGATGAGCTCACATGGGGCCAAATAATGTGGCCCAGGGGGCAGCACCCAGGACTAGGGAGTGTCCTGGGTGAGGGTTATCTGGCCTGGGTTTGGACTGAGGCCTTTCTGCCTCTGGTAAATGGAAGCCAAGTAGGTCCATTATCTTTAGAAAGTAATGAGCAAGGAATGCTGAACTTGGCATGTACTGCTCAAATTTTCATTAATATATTTTAAAAGCACTGTTTGCTACCCTTACTTCAGGAAAATTGTCATGGAGCAAGGTCGTTTAGAATTTGGAGTTTGAAAGTTAGGATCTATTTCCTGTTTTTTTCCTAATAGCTGCATGACTTTTGGCAAATTACTTGCCCTAACTCTCAGATTCTTTATCTGTAAAATGCAGACACTACCACTCTATTCCTCATTGAGCTATTGTGGGGATTAAATGAGCAAATAACATGTCAAGCACTTTAGCAGGGGCCTGGAACACACTGAAAACGCATGCTAACCTGCTTCTGCGGGACAGGCAGGGTGGGCAGAGAGGAGGCAGAGTGGGAGGAAAGGCTCACGAGACCTCAGCGGAGGGAAAGGGGTGGAGTGAGGCGCACGAGAGATAAGGGCCTCACAAGCTTTGAGCTGACAGTCTCCTGGGCTCCACATGCTAAGATTTTTCTCTCTGGCAACGGCCTGCGTCTCCGTGCCCTGCTAGCTCACACGGACGAGCGACTAACCTTGTTCCAAAGCACGGACCACAGCACCTCCTCTGTCTAAGCCTCGGTCGGTGCCACCAACGGAGCACCGAGCAACTCCATTACTGGAACTGGGGACAAGGCAAGGGGAGAGACTGAGAGTCAGCACTGAGAAACTGACTGAAACCCGGCCAAGCAGTTTTATTTCAAATGAATCTAATGATGAATAGAAATGTGTATTTTTGTATGTTTGTTATTTCCCTATCTAGCAATTCATTTTCAAAAAATTAACCTTTTACCTTAGTGATTCACTTTTATTTTACTTTTAAAAAACTACAGACCCACAGTGGTTAAAAGTTAAAACAATTGGTCGTTCCACCATTGACAGCCGAGAAGCAGCCCTACTCGAGGCAATAATCCAGACTTTCCTCCTGTTCCCAAGTCATCATTCTAATTCTGAAAGTTCCTGAACACTGACATGTGAGGAAATGCTTTAGTTTGAACCTTTGTTCCTAAGAACAGGCCGAACTACTCATCTAAAACAATTCTGGAATTATTATTATGAATAATATTAAGCTTTTATAAACATAAGGAAGAATTTTGAAGAATTTTCTCAAATATACAAAGAAAATTTAACGTCAAGGAAGGTAAGGCAATTTTTAAATCCACCTTGTAAAACACAGCACAAATCTTTATGAGGTAGATTGATAGATATTGATACTGAGTGAGGCCCAAGATGTGTTAGGTGAAAAAAAAGTTGTAAAACTGTACTTGGAATATGATGCTGTATTTTAAACAAAAAGATGATATGCATGAAAAAAATCTGAACTAATATACAATAAATTGTTATATCCAGTAATGTTTGGCTTATAGGGCACGATTACGTTTTTATGTTATGTCTGCTTGGTGTGTGCATTTAAAATTTTTACCAGGAGTATATTTTGTAATAGAAAAAGAAACTTACATGTTGAAAAACTTACCTCTGTCACATTTTCACTCTCTGGGTATTAATAAACATAACAATAAAGTGATTCAGAGATGTTTTTAAAAAAGACGTGGGGTTTGTCACACAGCAGGCCCTCTCTGCTTTCATTTCTACACCATCTTTTCCCATTTGGGAGCCAAGCTCTACTTGTTCTTTCAAGGTTCACTTCCAATTCTGAGTGTACCATGCCTTGAACAGGAAAAGGCCATTTCCATGTATGATACCTGCTCGGAAACATTAAGCTCTCCCTACATTTCATCTCCCACTCCCCTCTCCCCTTTGTGCAGGACAAAAATATGTCAGGTGAAATATTTTCTTGAATTTAAAAGACCTGTTTGCTAGTCAGCAAAACTAGGATGAATTACCTGTTACAAAAACCAATATTCGCAAGACTGGAAAGCCTAAAAATTCCCATCAGCGAGGCAGCGCACTACGGTATTGTATCAACTCTAAGACAACTTATTGTAGACACAGCATTATTTTATGCATCACCAAGAAAGAAAAAACACTGTCAATTCAACTAGAACATGCCATCAATCAAGAGATGCACCTTGATTTCAGAGATGTAAATGTAAAAAACTTGCATCTTGAAGTCAATAAATATGGTAATACTTATATTATGTAACTAAGAATCTGCAATCTTGTCCAACATGGTCACTTGAAGTAGAGCACCTTAACCTGCTTGGTATGAACCACGGACATAAATGGAAGAATGCGTGAACATTTTCAGTAGCACACTCTTAGTTTATTGACCTATGTAAAAAAATAATAGGTCTTAAAAAGTCAGGACAGTAAAAGAATATGCAAAAGGGCATTTCTGTTCCTAGAATGCTATACAAATATGCAAAAGGAATAAGTTATATTTTTGCATGTCTTTTTTTGTTCCAAATTTACCCCCCAAACTTCATTTTTAATGATACAAATGACGCAGGACCAGTTTGACAAACCCACTTTATGTGAATATCACACGCTTTGGAATAGATAGAAAATGTTCCAAAAAGTTGCTCAGAAACTGCTCTGGTCACAATATAAACAAGAAACCTGTATAAAAGGAGGAGGAGCACCTCTTATGGAATTTTCAAGCAGAGTAAAGAAGACAAAGAAGATCTGGAGTACGGAAATATTTGTTTAAAAAACACTCAGCCATAAACCATAGCTAATTAGTTCTTCCACGGAAAGTATGAGGTAGTTTTAGCCTCATAATGAAATCTACCGCAGCTTAGAGTTTTTGTGTTTGTTCTAATGACTAATCTTGTTTTGTCACTTGGTGACTAGGACTACCTGTGGAATACAGACAATATCTGACTTTTCTAATGGTCACCATTTTAAGGCACACAATTTATCTAAAATGATGTGGGGGGCTTTTCTTTATTTTGTTTTGGGCTCTTTCCATATCACCTCAAAACACTTTTTCCAATTCTTGATCAGAAAACTTTCCATATCAAGTCTGCCATTTCAAATGACAGCCAAGTTGGAGAGTTAACAGCCTGGATAACAGCTCATCGTGCCACTGGGATAGAAAGAGACAAGGAGCTTGGCGATATTGTGCCTCAGAGGACTCTCTCTCCAAGCACATTTGTCACGCACTCAGTGGCCTGCTTCATTATGCCCAGCCCGCCATGAACTTTTATTACAGGATGCTATGGCTATAAGTCTTTCTGGAACCCATTTTATGGTGCTTATGAAAACCATCACTCTTTATAAAATCCTAAAAACATTTACACTCATTCAGAACTTCATGAAAATCCAGCTTCTCTTCAAGTAATTTTCCAATACTGTCTAGATTGCTCATGTCCGTGTAGAAAAAGCGTCGTTTGTCGTCAGCTCACAAATCCAAACCTTCGGATGCTGAGCAATGACTCTGGAGCTCTGGCTGCCCTCCTCTCATCATTCTGAATTGTGCTCTGAAATTTCCCGCCCTTCTCTTCTCTTGGAGATCCTGAAAGCACTTTTCACAGTTTTGGGTTTGCCTTCAACAACTTTTATTCCCTTAAAAAGTGCTTGCTGTTGAGAAAGCTGAGTCCTCCCGGGGCAATGGCTCAACATGTGGTCCGCCCTTTGCCCTGCCAGGTTAGTGCCTGGCCTCTGAGAGGCAGGTTGTCCTGCAGGGGCTCAGTGTGGGGTTCACTTCTGGGGCAATGTAGGTCCTCTTTTCAACCTCTGATGCCTTCTGGGAAGATGAGCACGTTTTGCAAGGCACACTAGTGTGGGAACGCAGTGCTTGGTCAGAGGTGCAGCCCAGCTCAGACTAATGTCCCGGGCTTTGAATCTTCATGCCAAAAGAGCCTCTGCTCACTGCTCTCCAGGCCGTCTTCCAGCCGGCTCCCCTCGGGGCTGTCCAGTTGACTGGTCTCTGTGTACTGTCTATGAAAGGAAACCAGAAAAGTTACTACTTGTGGTCATTTTTGCTCCCAGAGTACAAAAATCACTACATTCAAAGAAGTTAGTAGAAAGCACTGTTAAGAAAATTATTCAAAACTTGGAAACAAGGCAAAAGCTGACTGTTGTTCTCGCAATGCCTCGTGGGACCTGTCTTGCAGGCCACGTGGAAGCACCCAGTGCTCTAGACATAGACACGGGTCTGACTTACACTGACCATGGACTAGGACCTAGTGTCCAGTTAGATGTTAACAAATGACTTTTGTCTAGTAAGAGAGATTATGGTTATAGTTGTATTGCCTTGTGGGACACTAGCTGGTTTGTGATCTTACTCCAGCTGTTCTCTTTCAGTGTGTTGAATACAGTCGCTTGAATTCTCTTGGAACAGACTTTACCATTATGTTAGTTCTCTCATTAATGAGTTAAGTAAATCTTTGACACATGCCCATTTTCCATTTATGTGAGAGTCATATTTTTAACTTTTTAAAAGGTATTTTTGACAGCCACACTTTAAGTATTTTTCCAATTAAGGGAATATGTCAGATGCTTTCCTCAGGGATACAGGAATATATTTAGAGGGAGGCAGGGGCACCTTGGGACATACTTTAGATCCCTATGGTATGTGAGTCAAGTGTAAATTGGAAACAACATCATACATAAAAATCATAGGCATCTCTGGGTGCATATCCAGACGCGGGCATCCGATTACACAAACCATTCCAAGAAGCATAACCTCATTCTCGTAGTAGCAGGTCACAATAGGTTAGGTAGTTAGTAGATTTCCTTTTATCTGAAATTTAATGCCTGTTAGCAACGGGAATAAGAAGCCTTTGGATGAAGAGCTTTGGATAGAAACCCCGCGTGACTCCAGGTGCTGAGCGTCTGGTCTGACAAAGGGCGAGGCCAGGCTCCCTAACTTCACCCGCAGCCAGAGCGGCGCACCCGCTGCGAGCGGCACACGGCTACTTACTACGGCCGGCCCCTGGCGACAGGGAGCCCAGAGCCGGTCGCCTCTCTGGGGACACAACCGCTCTCTGGGACAGAAGCCTGTGGCTTTGCCTAGTGACAGGTAGAGCGAGGAGGAAGGGGAATGGGAAACAGGGAGCGAGAGAGAAGTTATTTAAAAACACCATTTGCAAGCAGAGCCAAGACTCTGTGTTACATACTAGGTGGCACAAGAGACTTCAACGTTTCTAATTTTGGAAAGTTTATGCCGCTGACAATTATACCACATCATACTAAGAAAAAAACGTTTTTGGTAAAATTGTGTAGCTTTCTCTAGTATTAAGACCTGGAGGAGAAGATCTGTAAATAATATGCACTTCATTTATATTGATCTAATCACTGATCTATTGCTAAGCATTGCAAATCTTTAACTTAAGAGGTCTAAAGTTTTTCATCTTTATCTTGAAACCCAATTTCTCTTATTTTAAAATTTATGTTTTCATCAATAACATGCAATTTTAGGGCAAAATTTCTAAAGCTTTATGGATATTGCTGTTATACTCGCCTTGTTAATAAGTCAAGTTAAATTGATCCAACTATGTTTTAAAGTTATAATTTTAAAAAACCATAATTAAAAAAAATCCTAAATAGACACAGCTGAAAATAAGCACTCCCATAGCTCTGTGGCTGGGAGGGTACACTGGCAAATTTTTCTGGAAAGCAAGAGCTTAAAAAATATACTTTTCAATTTAATCCTTTAATTCTACTAATTGGAATATATCCTAGGGAAATAATCTGGAATTCAGACAAACATTTTGTACAAAGATATTAAGGAGCAGCATTACATAAAATAAAAATAGAAAGAAAATCCAAAAACCATTCGTGGGTAATTGTTAAATAAAGCATGATGTATTAATTAGTGGAATATCATATTGGTCCCATAAAATAAGGATTAAAGAGCTTTTAAAAATACGGAAACCTGTCTATGTTATAATATTAAGTGAATAACTGGGATGTAGAATTTCATACATGATGAAGGATGTAAAATTGTATATATGGTATCATTACAACCATGTTAGAAACAGATGCAGAAAAGTGGGAAAATGTGGCAAAACGTTAATAGCTGTTATCTCTAGATGGTGGAATTATGGGTAAATTATTTATTACTTATTTATCCCTTTATTATTTTCTCAGTTTTCCACAATGAGCTCATATTAGGAGCATGTGCATGCACACAATAGGGATCTTTAAATAGTTCCAGTTTCCTGCACACTGTGCCCCCTGACATCAGACTCCCCTATCAAGCCGTCTTAGACGGGCTGGGATAGAGGGGCGGGCTCGCTAAGAACAGATGCTCCCTAAAAGTGTTTAGCACTTTGGGTCCATGAGAGTTGTGGTAAGGATACTATTAGAACTGTCTTATACAGTGAATATTTTATATCATTTCTAACCGAGTCAACAAAAGAGGACAGTAAAAGTACATAGCACTGGCCAAGGAGCTCAGTTGGTTACAGCACTGTCCCGATACGGATACACCAACATTATGGGCTCGGTCCCCGGTCAGGGCACATAGAAAAATCGACCAGTGATGTACAAAGAAGTGAACAACAACTGATGCTTTCCTTTCTCTCTGTCTCCCTTCCTCTTGCTCTAAAAATCAATAAATAAAAATTTTAAAATAGTATATAAACATGAAAACTATTTGCACATGTATTGTACAAAATGATTAGAACTGAACTGAAAAAAATATGGCACAGATTTGGGGCCAAAGTCATTTTAGTTCTTGCTCTTAACTCACCCTCAGCATTATTTACAGAAATCCATGCTATGCCACATACTCTGAAGTATATTTTCATTAAAATTCTATTTTGAGCACACCCTTTGTTGAGTTGAGACAATTGGACTAATATTTCAAGCCAAGAAAAACTCCTGCTGACGATGGAGAAGAAAAAATAAGGCTTTGGGGTGAATGTGTCCAATTTGCTTTAACACTGAGTGCTTCATAGGAAACTGACCTCTGAGGTTCACCAGTATAAAGACCTTCACAACTGTAGTCTGTGTGAGTCTCCTATGCCTGAAGCATCAGATTTAAAGAAAGCAAAATTAAACTTTTCTAGAAATCCCCAGAAAATGGCACCATGGGTGGGGGTGATATTCTGTGAGAAAGTGACAGGGAGAAATGACCTCTGCAAACTCAACTTCTCCCGTGCAACACGAAGGGTTGAAAAATGTGTAACTGGGAATTTGCAATCATTTTGACAATCACATTTTAACAAACTGTTCTCACGTGTTTCCTCTAAGTGTTTACAAAGAATTACTTTATATGAATGGGACAGCTGGCTGTGTCTGCTGCTTCTTAATAAACATAGGGTCAGACACAAAAAGGTAGCAAATGTTTGAAATGAAGCCGCCAACTGTTCACGAGGAATCTTGGTATGAACAGTTTTTCTGGAGCAGAGATATTTTTCCTGCAAGGTTCCAGAAGAGTCTAAATAGATAAACCAATTATACAGTTTCAAGTACTGCAATTAAAACAAAACCTTCAGACACAGAGTTTAATGTACAGAACTCTAACAACAGGGTCACATGTGAACGAGCTAGACAGGGGGTCAACAAACTTTTCCTAAAGGGCCAGATATTTTGGTCTCTCTCACAACTACTCTGCACTGCCCTCATAGTGCAAAAACAGCCGTAGATAATACGAAATGAATGAGCATGGCTGTTTTCCAACAATACTTTGTTTACAAAAACAGATGGCAGCTGGTTTTGACCCACAGACTATCGTTTTCCAACTCTTGAGCTAGATTATTTAGCATTCATAAAATAAAACAGGATTCCTGGATTCTTTTGACCAGGAACAGGCTACTAGACTTTCTGAGCATTGCTCCCTCACCTGCCTGGAGAGGGCAAAGGATTATAGATGTTGCCGTAGCAGCTGGTGTAAGAAGGATGTGCTGAGGTCTCGTATTCAGAAAGTCCCACTGTTATCTGGGTCCTCCAGTTCCCAGAAGCATTTGTAGATGACACTAGAAATAAAAATGGAAAAACAGGCAGAATTAGTGGTAATATTTAAAGTGAAAATTGTTTTGGCCATTTACATGTACATTATAATCAGGTGTTTGCAAAATGGAGCTTAAGAACCAATGTTTGGAATCCACAAAGCTCCTATTCCAGAGTGGTCACTTACTGGCCGTGACCTTGGGCCAGTAGCTTACCCTTATTGAGCCTCAGTTCTTCATCTGAAAAGTGGGGTAATAATATAATCTTACACCAGGATTAAACAAGGTAATGCATGGAAATATTTAGCACTGTCCCTGGCACTGAGTAAGTACTCAATAAACGACAGCTATTAATATTGTTAACGGGGATGAGGTTAATTAAAAGACATTCTATTTTAAAGCACCCCGGGCGTAAGGAGAGAATCTTCCATGGGCTGCAGAGCTGGTACATAGGCTTCAGTTGTGCCAGGGGCTCAGGTGAAGGCTGGGTCTCCTGGAGGCTGTTAGGAAGCTTTCCCAAGTCGAGCTGCTGGGACTTGACTGCTCCTCAGCCAAAGGCAACACGGGCCACTAGAGGATCAAGGCATATTTTTTGCCTTTATAAGGAGGTGGACAGGAGGGAGGTAACTAGTACAGAAAGGATTTCAGGAGGAAAAGATTTCGTTCTACTGAGGGGCAGGCCTGGAATGAGGCAAGGGCATAATTTGGGAGCAAAGCCCAGTGAATGCCTCATCACTGGGCGTTTGCTGTCCTCTCTCTAAGACCAGTCTTGCTCCATGCCTCGGTGCAGAGGTGACCACAGTGCCACGCTGGTCATCCAAGGCTCAAATAACCAGCACCACTCATGGGTCCTTCCAGCTGTCCTCATTTCTGCTCCGGGCACCAACCTCCTCTCTTCTCTCTCACCCTCCCAGCACGTGTCACCTGTGTGGGACAAACACATTCCAAAACCCTGGATGCCACCAGGTTTTGACCCAAAGCTGTGACACTCTCTCCTTTGGGCTTCAGGACGCTTCGGCAGTCTTGGTCAGGGGCGGGGAGGCTTGCTGGCCGAGATGTCAGGGCTGGGAACGGATTCCCACTCCACGCTCCTGAGCTTTGGGGCGTGGGCAGGGTCATTTACACTCTCTCAGCCAGAAGGGCCTCCGCGGTACAATGCAGTTAACAACAAACCCAACACTCACCGTGCGGAACGCCGCACGCATATAAAGCGCTGAGTGTGCTGCCCGGCACATGGGAAGGTGCCAATAAACAGAGGCTGTTATTACTACTGAAACCGAGTCAGGAGAGAGCCTTTAGGTGGCTGGAAGGAACCACAAATCCCTGACCTTTTGGCAAAAAATTGAGAACTTATCTCTGCATGAGAAGGATGCATGCCTGCTGTAATACATTTCTGTAGCTGTAAAATATAGACAGGAATGAGGGAAATTCCAAAAGGAAATCTAGGAACCCTTATTCCATATCTCTCATTCCTTAGAAAATGGTGCTTTTTGGTCTGTGGGGCCAAATCCAGCCGGTATCAGCAAGGCTCACACCGGGTCCAGATCAGGACGTGCTAGCTCCATTCTCACCTTTGCCCCAAACTGAGCGACCTAGAGTGTTGCTGGTCTGGGTCCCACCCGCTGCCCCCGGCCCGGCTGTTGAGGAGGCACTACCCCCGCCCTGCGCCCTGACGACCGTCCACGTGCAGCTAGCCCTAACTGCTTAGATCTCTCTTTGTAGTTCTGCCCAGGTTTGGCTTCTGAGTTTCTCATGCAATGCCCTGAACTCCAGGGGAAGACAGGTGCTCTCTCGATCGGAGCCATAAACAACAAGAAATAATTACAGAAGCCTCTTCACGGGCTAGACGTGGTAATAGACGGGAAAGCACTAGCGGAAGTCCAAAGTCCTGCACAAACAGAAGGGAATTCAAACCCAAATAGAAATCTCCATGGCAATGCCTCTTGTCAACAAGCTTATGAGACTTTTAAAGGTACAGTCTTCACAGGCTGTTAAGCCGTGACGGGAATCCCTGAGTGTCTCACTGAAGAGTCATGCTTGGCGGAGGGGCAAGACTCACGCCCTCGGGTGCTCATGCTGTTCACAGAATCATCCATTTCTTAGACTTGCTCAGTGCTAACACACTCCTCTGGCTGCTACCTGAAGTGAGAGCTCGTCGGGCCAGGCAGTGTTCCAGCAGGCTCCCCAGCACCCGGATGCGCCTGCTTGTTTGCTGAAGAAATTAAACCAGAGACAGACGACAGACACTCCTCTTCTCCACTCACTTCCCTGCTTAAAGTGCTTGGCACAGCTGGGGGGGGGGGGGCAGTAAGCCCACCGCAAATGTCAGCAGAGTTAGGGGCCCACGTCAGTGCATGAAGGGAATACCAATCAAAGCCATCTCTGAAAACCCCAAAATCAACCGTAAACTGGACTAGATATATTCACTGAATTGAGTCAAGACATGCAAAGCTCTAGAAACGGTTCCAGGAACAGTGCTTAATAAATGCCAGCTTCTATCACAGCTATGGTACCGTGAGCAGGCACCAGAGCATTCACGCTGATGGGACTCCTGGTGCTGAACAGCAAAGGAGGTGAACTGTTTTCTTAATGCCTGAAGGGTTTAGTCTGCTCTTTTAATATATCAAACCTCAATGACCTGAACACGTTTAGGAGCTGTAACTGTCAACATAAGACCTAGAAAGAAAAATATGTGAAGCTTCTAACGTAGGGCAGCGATAAATGTTTGTTGGATTTCAATCTACAACTTGCTTCACCAGGCCCGTGTGGACTGCGTTCTTTGGGGAGCTGGAGGGAACCATTTTTAAGCTGGCAATTGTCCCTGTGGGTCCACCCCATGGCTACTCCTCTCCTGACCTTGGGCACTGGCCTCCGGATCCTTGAGGTGCGTGGTTTTGGGTAGGCACGAGGGGTAAGCTAAATCCGGGTAGCAAGCGCCTCCTCTGTGTTCTCACCTGAAGAGTAGGAAGACGCACGACTGCCCGGAGAACAGGGCACGTGCAGCCCGGCCAGGCCCAGGCACCGCTGCGAGCCCCTGTCCGAGTCGAAGCTGGGCTGCGGGCTGTGGCCCTGCTCCTTCTGCCCAGAGGCCCGCTGGTACCAGCCGCGCAGGTGCTCTGCGACTAAGGCCTTGTGGATGCTCTTGGTGATGCGCTCGGGGGCCGCGGCCTTCCTGGGCAGCCGCAGGGTCGCGTACGGGTTGTGGGGCACCCGGTCCACCTCGTCTTCATGGAAGGACCTGCTGTAGTCCCTCTGGCGGTCGTACCCGTAGTGGGCCGAGGAGCGGTAGGAAGGGTTGACACTGTACTGTCCCTCAGTGTCGTTCTCGTAGATGTAGCCGCCGCTGTAATAAAGGTCACACTCTGCGTATGGCGGGTACCCGGTGATATAGTAGCTGGAGAGAGGCTGCTCGTGGCTCTTGGCGTAGACACCGTTCCGCAGGCTGTCCCTTTGGGCAAGGTTGGGCATGCTTCCCGAGTTCGAGGTGCAAACACTCTGCTTCTTGGCCCTCCTCCGGCCCCTGGCGCGCGTGTCCAGGGTGTGGGCGCCGCGACAGGGGCCGGCGGCGGGCGCCACGCAGTAGTACTCGGCGCTGGACTGGCTGGTGCAGGAGGACCCGTCGTCCAGGACCTCGGTGCTGCTGCTCCTTTGGGATCTGCAGAGGGTGAAGAACGGCCGGTCGGAGTCCGGCTCCGGCAGCAGGTGCGACTGGGACTCCAGGCTGCCACTCCGCTGCCGCCGGTGCTCCGATGAGGAGTCGGGCCTGAAAGACGGGCAGGACAGCCTTGTAAGAGAGCAGGGGAGAGGGGACCGCGCGACGGGGAAGGACGGCCGGGCCGCTGGACTGCAGCAGGACTTGCAGTTTCCAAAGCTGACTGCACACCAGAGCCCACTGGTTTATGCACAGGCCACGGCCACGGTCAGACGGGAAAAGAACCAGGTTCCGTCCACCGTGTGACCCACGGCCTTTCTTGAGAATCAGGAAGATAAACTGCTGATGCAAACTTGCATCAAAGCCGGAAAAAACACACCCAGTCCCGCGGGGTCCTGTCTCCCAGCAGCAGGGGACACGCAGGCAGAGCCTCGCTTCCCAGCTGTGTGAGCGCAGCCCGGGTGCTTAACCTCTCTGAACCTCGCTTCCTCCTCTGTGATGTGGACAAAACCAGGTCCTAACATCTACAGTCAGGCTTGCTGCGGGGCCGAATACAGCGCCTATAAAACAGCCAGCACAGCCTTCAGGAAACACTTCGAAATGCCTCCAGGTGAGGTCTTCAATCTCACTACTGCCTAACAAATGGTGATATCTGGCCGGAAAGATTAAGGTACAAAAAAATACAATATCGATTTAAACATAATACATTTTCTTTGCCGGCATATGTGAAACTGTGGGTAGAAAATGTAGATGCAAAATAGAGGCCTGCTGCTCAAAGTCCCTTAAAACGATTACAAAACACAACAAAGTAAAACAAGACCTTAAAGCAAATATTAACAGAGCGAGCGGGACGGGAGGGAAGCGCTCTTACTCTAAGTGGCTGCTGCTGTAGGCGTTTCGGGTGAGCACAGGGGTGGTGGGCATGCTTCGTCCGCCCTGCGGCCGCCTCTCCGGGGTTTTGTAAGGGCTGCTGTGTGTCGACAGCATTTCTCTGTGATGGGAGGAAAAATTCAGGAAATGATGAGTCGCCAACATCTCCGGCAAACTTGCCATAAGCTGAAGGAGAGGGCGCATGGGGAGAAACTGGGAAGGCGTCTGGGAGCTGCTGGGTGAGTTTTAGGGAAGTCCATGCGCTCTGACTCTCTGAGTCATAAGTATGAAGAAAATAATAGAAGAGTTTTAAAAAGCGTGTGCTGAATAAAACAGATTGAAAGCAACTAGAGCAGGGGCAGCAAGCCTTTCTCTGTAGAGTCTAATAGCAAGTGCTTTTGGCTTTGTGGGCCAGGGGCTCTGTCTCTACTGCTCGGGTCTGCCCTTGAAGCTTGGAAGTCGAGTCAGACCATGTGCAAGTGAATAAGTTGACTATGAACATTGAAATTCAAAGTTATATAATTTTCACATCACAAAATAGTATTGCTTTTGATTTCCCTTCCAACTATCTAAGAATATAAAACCATTCTTAGCTCATGGGCCTTATAAAAACAGGTGTTAGGATAGATCTGGCCAGTGGGCATAGTTTGCTGGCCCCTGGTCTAGAAGGCGGCATCCTTAAGTCCTCTGCCCAATTCCCAGCACAGGGAGAATTTAAGTGAAATGACTCCGATTAACTTTTTACTTATCACAAAAGTATGTCAAGTTCATTGCAAAAATGTTGAAAGATAGAGATAAAAAAGAAAAATTTAAATGTCCATAACCTGAACCTTAGATACAGCCAGTCAGTACTAAATGTTTTCAGATATTTTTCCTAAGCATATATACTTATAAGCACTTATACTTTTTAACAACAAAAAATGAGATCTTACTGTATATTCTCTTTCAAAACCTACTGAAAAATTTAAAAATTATATCTAATGCCCTGCCGGGCATGGCTCAGTGGTTGAGCATCGACCTAGGATCCAGGAGATTGCAGTTCGATTCCCAGTCAGGGCACAGGCCTGGGTTGCAGGCTCGATCCCCAGTTGGGGGTGTGCAGGAGGCAGCTGATCAATGACGACTCACTCATCATTGATGTTTCTCTCTCTCCCTCTCCCTTCCTCTCTCTGAAATCAATAAAGATATATTTAAAAAAATAAAAATAAAATAATAAAATTATATCTAATGTTTCATGTTGCTTAATACTTGCTCACAATATTATTTTAATGACCACATAGCTGTAAGGATTTACCATAATTTATTTAAACAATACATTTAGGTTGCTTTCAATTTGTCACTAATATAAACAATGCTGTAATGCGCATCCTATATTGACTTAGTTCAACAGGAAAAATTCCTGTAAATGAAATTACTGCGTCAAAGAGCAAGCTCANTCATGGGCCTTATAAAAACAGGTGTTAGGATAGATCTGGCCAGTGGGCATAGTTTGCTGGCCCCTGGTCTAGAAGGCGGCATCCTTAAGTCCTCTGCCCAATTCCCAGCACAGGGAGAATTTAAGTGAAATGACTCCGATTAACTTTTTACTTATCACAAAAGTATGTCAAGTTCATTGCAAAAATGTTGAAAGATAGAGATAAAAAAGAAAAATTTAAATGTCCATAACCTGAACCTTAGATACAGCCAGTCAGTACTAAATGTTTTCAGATATTTTTCCTAAGCATATATACTTATAAGCACTTATACTTTTTAACAACAAAAAATGAGATCTTACTGTATATTCTCTTTCAAAACCTACTGAAAAATTTAAAAATTATATCTAATGCCCTGCCGGGCATGGCTCAGTGGTTGAGCATCGACCTAGGATCCAGGAGATTGCAGTTCGATTCCCAGTCAGGGCACAGGCCTGGGTTGCAGGCTCGATCCCCAGTTGGGGGTGTGCAGGAGGCAGCTGATCAATGACGACTCACTCATCATTGATGTTTCTCTCTCTCCCTCTCCCTTCCTCTCTCTGAAATCAATAAAGATATATTTAAAAAAATAAAAATAAAATAATAAAATTATATCTAATGTTTCATGTTGCTTAATACTTGCTCACAATATTATTTTAATGACCACATAGCTGTAAGGATTTACCATAATTTATTTAAACAATACATTTAGGTTGCTTTCAATTTGTCACTAATATAAACAATGCTGTAATGCGCATCCTATATTGACTTAGTTCAACAGGAAAAATTCCTGTAAATGAAATTACTGCGTCAAAGAGCAAGCTCATTTTAAGCTATTGGGGATGTGGGCTTAATAATTTTTAAGGTAATGATTCTTAGTTATAATTCTTCCTTGTGCTGAAATAGCTTTGTTTCCCCCTGTGTAAAAATGCCTATACTTGTGCAGAGCTAATGGGACTTTCTTCAGTGCTAGAAACATGCAAGATCTGTGCCGCCCTCCCGCACAGACTTAGGCACATGGTGCTGTAAGCACTTGAAATGGTTGGTATAACTGAGGAACTGAAATTTTAATTTTATTTACTTTTAATTATGTTGACCATAGAGCTCTAGACACTTGGATCTCTACTGTTTAAGGCAATAGTTCTTAAATACCAACGCACAAACTGGGGCTCATATGTGATAAAGGTTTTCTTTGGTCTTCGACAAATCAGAAATATAACCAAGTATTGGTTTTACTTTCATGAGTGAAAAGTTATTTAATCTAACTAATCTTCTTTTATTTTGAGACTCATTCCATTTTCACTGAGATACGGTATAACATATTGACTAAAATCGCATCTCAGGCTTTGGAGTAGGTTACCTAGGTTCAGATCCTAATTCTGACATCTACTAGTGGATGGACCAACAAATTATTTATGCTTTCTGGTCCTCGGTGTGCTCATCTGTACAGGGCAAAGACAGTAGCAGTACTGCGAGAATTGTTGTGAGGATTAAATTCATTAATATACATTAAAGCACTCTGCAGAGTGTCTGAACAGCATACAGTAAGTCCTCAATAAATGTTAACTTCACCTCATATTATAATTGTTATGATGATGATGGCAGATGTGTTTTTTGATATTTATATGTAATTTTTTTCATGAAATGATGGTGCTATTTGAACATTCTGATTAGGCAAAGTAAACAGTTGGCAATCTTATCTTAGGTCCTATTAAAAAAATCAGTATTAATCCATGCAGCCAATTTTTGGAAATAACTGGTCTGTCATCATTTTGAAATCTGGTGTTACTACCCTGGTAACTTTTACTTGAGACACTTGAGAAAAAGTTGTATTATCTATTTTACAGATTACAATGAATTGAAATCCTGTTTTTATTTGAAAGATCAGAAGTCAGCCCCATCACTTGGTTGGGCAAAATGGTATTTAATGACAGTTTCCTGATAGCATGGGTTATAAAACTGAACTTTGGACACTATGCCCAAATTCAGATTATAATTAATGCCCTTATAATTTAATGTAAATCTTTAAATGCCAGGAAACAGCCAAACATTTTATTTAAAAGAGCACTTAAAAATACTTCTACTTGTGTCACCACAAATAACTAGATTAGATTCTATGCTTCAGCCTTACAAAATAACCCCTTCTGAAAGGATAAACAGGATGAGACAAAAATGGGTGGACCATTTTGGTGAAAAGACCTGAAGGCTGCCGGCATCACCTTCCTGCGGGCGAGTCTCACCTGGGCGGCCTGGCCTCCACCAGCTGCTCCCCGACGGATGACTTCCTGCAGTGGATCCGCTCGATGCCCAGAGACTTGGGGGGAAGGATCCTTGGAGAATGAGGCACTGAGCTGGACCGCTGCCCAGCCAGAGTGAAGGGGTCGCTGGCTGGAAGAAGCAAGTGGGCGGATGAATGCGTGGGGGGGAGGCGAGGGAGTCGGGAAACACTGTGCCGCACCCCAGGAGAGAAGTGAGAGGAGCTGGCCAACAAGTGTTCTTCCAATAAGGATGTTTTTAGAAGCACGTGACTTCCAGGAAATTAATTTTTATATTTTATACACTACAAAAAAGAAATGAATGAACGCTGTTGTGGGGCCTGGTCCAACTTTTGCCAATTCAATGGGTACCACTCTGAGCAAAGAAATTACTCAGTGGAATGGGTGATACTATAGCTTTTTGAAAGTTTTATACAGAAAAACCCCAGTGGGGCCAAGAGGAAGTTGATCAATTTTACTTTTAAAGTTCTTAGGCCTCTTTGGCTGATGGGAGGCTCATCCTGTCATTGGAAGTGGTGCAACTGATTTACGCTGAGAGACTGGAGACGTCTTGTGTCTCCCGCTAATGTCTGTAGTTCCAAAGAGGAACGGCCAGTATGACCCAAGCTCAGCTCAAAGGGACAGGTCTGAAATGGCGCAAGTCACTCACCATAAACCAGTGGGGAGGTAACGCAGCGGGGTCAGGGCTCCCCCAAAGTGCTTAAACCCCGTCAGAGAGAGAGTCACTCCTCTGCTTAAGCCAAGGGATTACAAGGAAACACTGTGTCTCCTGACCCAAAATACACTCCACCATGGAGCGTGTGGAACAAACTCAGGTGACGCAACACAACCCGCAGATACAACTTTGTGTCTATGAAACTCGACCGACATAGTGACATACAACCCAGTTTCTAAAATGTGTATTTCTTCCTAAAGAAAATAAAACAAGCTCCCAATTATCCAGAATACAGTGACAGCACAGTCTACACTACAATTTCCTGACTCGATATTGGACTCCAAATACATATAATGTCAGCACTGGGAGAATCTGGGTGAAGGACTCTGTATTATTTATGCAGATATAATTACTTCAATAAAAAGTTAAAAAAATCCTACAGAGCCTTGCAAATCCTTACTGAGAGACTCACTCACTCACGCCATAGTATTCTGATTCCCAAAGTCATGCAATTTATAGGGATTGTATTTGATGCCAACCTGTGCAGAAGTTCACTGTAATCCCCTTTCCTCAACCTTTCTGCCTAAGTGTAAGTGAGCTGAGTCTACTGTTCTCTAAAGAATAAGTAGTCTTCACTTAACTAAAAAATTATCTTATTATTTCAGAATAGCCAATATTTTAAACCAAAAAAGGTGAGCTACTTACGATCGTCACAGGTGGTAGTGTCGGACAAGGAGCTGCTCTCTGAGGGGATTATGTCTTCTGTGAATAACAATGGCTGCCTTTAGTATAACTCTGCATTTATACACCTAACGCTTAACATTTATACACTTATAACTCTGCATTTATACAGTTAACAAAGCAATTCCTAGTACAGTGCATCTTAGTTAGATAAATGCAACTATAGTATGTTAAGATAATTAATTATTATAAGAATGGACCCATTTACTACTGAAGATGTAAACATCTCACATATTGCATAAATATTACATTAGACTCTTTCTTAAAATGAAACAAATTTCAAGGAAATTTTGGTTTTCAACTAGTTTTCAATCTAGCTTCTACACAGGACAAAAACTTTATTTTACACATTGAGTTTACAATCTACAAACTGGAAAGAAAAATCATGCCACTCATGTCATAAATGCTAAATGTTATGTAACATACACTTGAGTGTGAACCTATAGTTAGTGTAACTTATTTTTAGACCCCTCTCCTGAAGAAAGGGCCTTTTCTTAATAGAGTGTGGACTCTTTGAGGTGCATAAGCTTTGCAGTTAGACCAGGATCTCTCAAGTGTGTGAGAGGCTGACATTTTGGACTGCATAATTCTTGTTGGGGGGAGCTGTCTTTTGCTTTGTAGGATCTCCACCCTCCACCCACTGGATGTCCACAGCACCTCCACCCTCAGTTTTGACAATCAAAAATGCTCAGACATCGCCAAATGTTCCCTGGGGGCCAAAATTGCCCTTGGTTGAGAACTACTGAATTAGACAGACCTAGGTTCAAATCTTGGTAAATTACTTAATCTCTCTGAGCATCATCTGGCTCAATTTAAAAATGGGATAAAACAGCACGCAGTGGGTAGTGCCGGGGTGAACATTAAAGGAAACAGCGTGCGTGAAGCCTTTAGCCCAGCTCTTGGCGCGGGACACGTGCTCACCACACATTAGCTATACTTCTCCTTGTGTCACCTGCACACTGTTCTGGTGAAAGGCCTCTGGTGGCTGGAAATGCCCACAGTGCTCTCAATATTAGTGGTGCCCATCAGTGCTAAAAAACGTACTTAGCAAAAAGAGGCATCTCAGAGGTGCTGGTCTGCTTTGGCAAACCATTCTTACTAGTGTCAAGTATTTGTAAGATTACAGGCAAACGTGACACCTCAGTGCAGGCCTCAAAGCCTTATGAAGGGAACCTCCCCATCCAATCTCAAGGCTAATCTCTATCAGAGCCAGGCGGACTGTCTCTTAATTGGACACAGTAGAGCCAGAAGGCAACGTGCCAGTATAGTCAGCTGTCAGACACACTTAAAAAAAATCTATTCAGGGTAAATGCTCAACCATTGGCACCAGCTGCTGCCCAAACGTCGGTCACTGTTGAGAACACTTGAATCCTGCACCATCTGGGAGGAATGGGCCTCAACAAATGGCTATGAGAGTTAAGTGCACTGCTAATCACCCTTCCTGCAAGCACAGAACACAGCCACCGCCAAGGCCAGCTGGAGCCGGCACGCGGAGCTGAAGCCATCCTCAGTGCTCCAGCTGCAGTCGGCTAACACCCGTGTGCGGATGTCTGGGCATTCACTTTCCAAAGCCATCAGCCCCAGACCCGAGGACGCTTCAAATCTAGTTACCACATTTTGTCAAATCTAAGCTGTATAATTATTTTATTTCCCAGTAAAAAAAGAAAAAATTACTGCCAATCATAACTGTAACACCACCTAGTATAAAGAATTATCCCAATTTCACAGATTTTTAAATGTGGAAAAAAAATTTCTTGGAATCAAAGAAATATAATCAGGTTTCAACCAAAGATCAAGGCTAAAAACCATGCTGATAAATATGTAAGGCCAACTGGACCTGAAATCTACTTAAATGAGATTTTTCAGTTTACTTTTTTCTGAATATGAAAGTTTTAGATACATAATGTTGAGAATTTTGAAAACACAGAAGACTATTAAGAAAAAAATTAAGTTACTTGAAATTCCACAGCTATAAGTATTTTAAAATATTTCCCAATAAGTCTTTGTGTGAACAAAATTATATAATGTTGAGATCATGTTGCAGTTACAATTCTGTATCTTGCCTTTCTGCATTTCATGTTATAGTATGAACATTTGCCCACATCTTTAAATAGCCTCCATAAATGACAGTAACTGTAAGAACTCTTTCCTATCCACGCAAGTTGGATAGGTCCTTAAACAGCTGTATGGTCTCCTGCACTAAAAACCTCTGGGAAACTACCCGGTAGGACCCAGCTCTCTTAATACTCTGTGTTGTCAAATGTGTTTCTTGCAATGATATCAGGTCAGTTAAAGGTGAACCTGTCTTATCATGAACCAATATTGTTGTGAAAGCTCTTTCATCCCGGAAATTAAAGCAGTGCAGTAGTACAGCATTGTTACGACAGTGAGAATGGTACTGAGCACCCCGTTTACATACTTGTAAGACTGAAATTCTGAACCATTTTTATCCCAAGAAAGTTACTTTCAATCCTGTTCTCTTCTCTCTCACCAAATGAACTGGTTTGGAAACGCTACATACCATCGAGAGTCTTGACTATGCGCCTCAAAAAGCCTGACTTGTTACTAACCTGGTAAAATAACGGTGCCTTTCTGGCTAGGTTTCTTTCCACATCTAATTCGGTATTCATTTATTGCATTTTCGACCTCCTGAAGCTTTTTCACTGCATCCGTGTAATCTTGCTTTCGTTTTTTCTTCACGGTTTTACAAAGGTCTGGCTCATTGGCAAGTTTCTTTGCAGCTTCCACCAGCTTTTGGTGTATTAGGAAATTGCTCTCCAGCTCTTGCAAAGCAGGGTCCTGCATTTACAAAACGATGCTGTTTTATTTCTATGGACACACAGTCACTCTCATGTGTCCTGGGTACTAAGCCAGACTTCTTGTACGCCCTCAAACCAGATGCTCTTTGGGAATCCAAGCTTCCTGTTTTACTGCCCGAGTACCCTCAGCACCTTCCTAAAAGACAATCCTCCCTCATCCACTTACTTCCCATCCACAGACTTCCCACCCTCTTTCCTTTTCAGAGAAGGGAACGGCCGCTCATTCATTCAGTTGGCTGGGTAAAGGCCGCATTTTCCAAGAAGGGCCGCTCCACGCGAGCGCAGGTGCAGAGCGCTGACCTCACACGCGCAGCTTTACAGACGTAAATCTGACTTTGATCCCCCGTCCTGGGGGCTCCTGGCTGCATGGCCCCGGACACATTGCTCAGGTTTTTAATGGCTCAGTTTCTTTTCATTTGTAAAATGGAGGAACCGTCTACTTTACACAAGTATATGTGCACTTCTTAGTTCAGAGCTGGGTATACAATGAGCGCTCAATACAGAGCGAAGCTCACGCTTTATTGATGGCACCCGCTACCATTTTCTAAAGCCAGGACGGGTAGATTTCTGTAAGGATCGGCAAGGCCGCACTGTGCGAGAGCGTGCTACGGGAGAGTATACTCGAGGCCGGCCACAAATCTTTGCACTTTCTTACACCCGAGGGCTGCAAACGTTCTCTCACTGAATACTCCTTGCGTCCCCTGGAGGGAAAAACAGCCATTGCACCCCATTTTGTAGACAAGGGAACTGAGACCTGAGAATTAGGACTTCAAAGAGGGAAAAGTATTTGCCAAAGCTGGCTCTTAGTTTTAAGTGGAAGAGTCTAATGTCAGGGTTTTTAATTCTTATGTTTCTCGGTTTATAAACATTTCCCTCTCTATGTTTGCAAGAGAAACATGGTGAAAAATAACAATTTTAATTGGACTGTGTGTAAAAGAAAGAATTCAATTTGGTCTTTGTTATCACTCTCAACTGGTGGATAAAAACGCACAGCAGTAACTCTGAAACCAAAGGAACAGTCACCACGCTCAGCAGACGGCTGTTCTGTCCCACCTCCTAGAAAGGCCGGAGCTGGGCTCTTACCTCCTCACTGGGCAGCAAGTTGTCGTCCAATTTGAACGCAGTGCCTACACGCCTTCTGACCTGAGGCGGCTTCTCACCTATGCCCAGCGGGTATTCCTTTGGCATTTTGCCTGTGAGCTCCTGTAGAACAGAACAGAATCGAGAGGGGACAATAAGCACTGGCCAGGGTTGTCAAGTACAATTTGAAGAGCCCCCCAAACAGAAGAGACTCACAGCCTCCCGCAAACAGATCTTCTTGAGCTCCTCGACTTTTTTCAGGAGCTTTTCTTGCAACAGCTTTTCCTTCTTCTTGAGTTCAAGGATTTTCTCTCTCTTTTGCTCTTCACTAACTTCTGAGTCTTGAGAACCTGGAGGAGGGGGAAGGAGGTAGGGAAGGTTTATCCAAGGGATGTTTCCTTCCTTTTTAAAGGACAAAGGGTTTTTAAGCCAAACCTGCTAGTAAAGAGTTTATTTCTTTTCTCCTTGTTTCTGAACATAATAAAAGGAAACTGGAGAACATTCTCTCATGCTTCTGGGCATCAAGCGTAGCCTGGTAATAAAATGTGCCTTTGGCGTTTTGGCTCAGTCATTTCAGAAGCAATAATAAAATGCTTAATGTTTTAGACACACCCAAGGAAAAATTATTTTTTCTGAGCAGGTGAGAAGGGGAGATAGTTGCTTAGAATGTTCTTTGAGAAAGCAAGCCAGCAAGGCCAAGGAATGTTCTGTGCTTCAGGTTCACAAGTTGACAATGGATTTTCACGGGAAAATTCATTTTAGCAAAGTTACGTATACTTAGTGATAACAGACTGCAGAATTTCTGCACAGGAAGGGCTTAGGGGAGGGGTCTTCAAAGCTTTTAGTCACATTTGACTCTTTATTAAATGGAGAATTCGGCTACTGTCTGTTTCAAAAACTAAATATTGGGGGGAATAAGAAGCTGATGTAATTTATGGAGAGAAATGTCCTTTCAGGCCACTGCGAAGCACTCACTGTCTTTGCACCTAGTGTTAGTTAGGCAACCTATTTATAATTTAGCTTTATACTTTTTGAAATTAGTTTAAAATTTTTATTCAACACTGATGCATACTCTAATTTTGATATGTTTAGTCATTTTCAAAATAATGGGTTAAAAGATGCATTTAAAAGTGGTTTACAACAACAACAAAGTGAAATGGACTGAAGATTGCCTGCTCTCTGTCTGACCCAGACTGTTACCTGAGGAGACTAAGCTGCCATTGCTGGCCATGATGAGCTGGCTTTTGGCCTCCAGAGTGACCAGTCTGGAGGTCCTTGGTGTTCCCGTCTCCGTCAAGTCCATCGCGATATCGTCCAAACTTCTGGCTGAAGGAATTTTTGCCTAAAAGGTATACAACATTGTGATGGAATTCACTCAGTCAAACCTATTTCAAATTAATACAATGATTAAGTTACTATATAATAAGATGTCAACACAGAGGACAATTTAGAATTTTTACGCATATACTAAAATGACATTTCAGAAAAAAATAAGACTTAAGCTTTGTAGCTAAAATGTATTAATAACAATGCACGTTTCTTTCTTATGGTATAGTCCAATCACTAACTTTAAAATATCACCTCAATGTACACATACACGCATGCCAAAAATGTGACAAATCTTACAACTTTTTAAAAATTTTAATCCTGAGAGGATATGTTTTTATTGATTTTTAGGGAGAGGGAGACAGAGACAGAGACAGAGAGAAAGAAAGAGAGAGAGAGAGACATCGATGTGAGAGAGAAACATCAATTGGTTGCCTCCTATACGAGCCCCAACCAGGGATCAAACCCGCAACCTAGTATGTGCCCTGAGCAGGAACTGAACCTGCGCCCTTTCGGGATATGGGACGCGCCAACCAACTGAGCCACCAGCCAGGTCAAATCTTACAACTTTTGAATCAGGTTATATATTGCTCATTTTTTAAATGTAAGAAAAATTAAAACAGTTGGTAGAAAGGTTAAAAAAACAAAAACTAAAAGAACAAAATCCCATGTGCTAGCATCTTTTCTGAGAATGCTTATCTTTTGAACAGAGAGCAAACGAGGGCCGGGAGTTCACTCCTACAGAACCTCGGCTAGTCACTTACTTTGCTTTGCTTCCGGTCCAAGTAAAACTGATGCTGACTAATGGCCATCACCCAGATGGACTTGATGAGGGAGGAGTTCGCATACCAGGTTTGCACGAAGAGGCCACTTTGCCCAAAGGTTCTTCTTGACACCGAAATCCTAAAAGATTAAGGAAAGTGCTCACATTATTTGCTTCCGGCCAGAGTAGCACCAGCTGTATCCAGTGAGTCATGCAACAAGCATCTTCTCGGTTGTTTCCCCGCCACACTCCGGTGCTGCCAGGGCTCTGACTTTCTCCTTTTATGACAGAGCCAATCATACCTAGGTCATGTCTCTGTGAAACTAGCAGATAAGGATTAGTCAAATTAGAGCTGTACTAAAAACACTTAGTTAAAACCATCACGAGCAGTTGGGAATAAACATGATAATATTTTAAAGAGAAAGGCCTGGGGTATCAGCACCTTCTTCAGGTAAAAGAGCACCTTGGATTTAGGTATTGTCTGGCTCCGGCACCATCAGAGGATGAACATAATAACGCTGCCTGAGAGTACGCACGTCCAAACCCCGTCCAGAGTGCTGCTCATGCATGAACCAGATGACATGGGGACAGGGTGCAAGAGAGAAGCCTGGAGAGAGGAGGCAGGAAGGGACCAATGCTCTTAGCAGGGATTCAGTCATTTTGTTAAGGGCTGTTTCCCCCATCCCTGTGGCCTCCAAACATCCATAAATGTATCTGAAAAGCAACCACTGAGGACTGAGAGAGAACTGTCCTGGAGAGTTTGGAGAAACTACCATCCTGACTTTAATTAATGTTGCTCACTTGGCAGATGTTTTTAAAAGTATCAGGAATTCCAAATTTTAAAATGAGCAAGGGATCCGAACAAACATTTCTACCAAGATACCCAAAAAGCCAATGCACACACGAAAAGACGCGCAGCCATCATCAGTAAGAGGAAAACGCAAACTGGAACCAGCGCGATGCCTCCGCACAGCGCCAGGGCGACTGCTGAAGAACCCCACTGAAGTAAGAAGTGCTGGGGTGGGTGTGGCGACAATGGGCCCACATACGCGACTGGCGGGAATGGACAATGTGTACCCGCTCTGGTAAACCTTCGGGCTGTCCCCCCAAAGTTTAAAGACAGAGCCGGCCCTTCACTCAGCAGTTCCACCCCCAGGTACACACCCAAGGGAAATAAACACACGTCCACAAGGAAACTGCACGGAAGGCCACCAGGACCAAACAGAGAAAAAGCCGGATCCTCACCTGCGTGGGTCGTGAACTTCCACGGCAAATTTCTTGTCACGGAAATATAAGTTCTCCAGCTGTTTCCACTGGAATAGCTAATAAATTAAGAAAACACAGAAACCACACAGCTTTAATTTATGTTAACTTTTACTAAATCTAGAAATCAGCTTAATAATCAAATAATCAAGAAAGTGCACTAAGATTAAGCACAAACATGTGATGCAGCCTTTTTACAGACCAAGTACAACCTGGAACCATTTACTCCTTCTGACAGTAATCTTCACCAACTCTTCCTTGAACTATAAACTAGGAACCGTGGGGAACATGTGTGCTATCTTTCCTGTGAGTCACTAAATGAAAGAAAGGGGGAGTAAAGAAATCCTGCTAGATTCCGGTAAGCACATGCTTCCTGATCAAAGATGTTGATTTCATACTTAAATGGAAAGATATTCAAAGGGATGGTTCAATAAGACCACAGAGTCAATTTCAAAAGAAAGCAAAGTGAAAGTAAGCCGGAACCCCAAGGGGGGTGATTCTCTGTGATACCAGTTTTCTTGCTACAGGTGTTCCCCTAAATGGGGCAGAAACCAGGAATTGGAGGCAGGGGTGGGATGGGGTGAATGCAGGAGCTGCCCTCTGGTTCTGAGGGGGAGCCCCCACTTCCACATCCCCGCTGCTGACATTCTCAGCTGCACCCGCTGTTTTTGCCAGTGTGTGGAGAAACAGACCCTACCAGCAATGTGCTTTTGAAAACCACGTAATTTGTAAAAAACTCATTCACACAACTGGTGCCCTGCTGTGCTTTCCGGCCCTGGTGTTAGACCTTGTGCCGGCCCGAGCCTCATCTTGTCTCTTCACTCGGACTTCATAGAATTCCTCTACTCGTCCCTGATGAGTAGGGAAATAATAGCAGCGTGATTTCATTCCATTATTAGACGTTGGCTGGACTTTTAACATACATTCCAAGCATCTTCAAAGAGCACTTTAATTACCTAAATAAGTTCTCTGCAATGCCCCTCAGTAAACCCATTTCCTGAAGCACAGGGACCAAGGTGCTTCACAAACATGCAGCCCTCCCCCCGTGTGAGAACAGCCTGGCAGGGTGCTGGGCACAGGCAGCCAGGAGGCCAGGGTCCAGACCCGCAGTGCCGGGCGGGGAGGAACGCACCAGCCCGCAGGAGACCGCGCGGCGTCCGGAGCTACCCCACTCCCCCGCTGAGAGTGGCTAGTGAAAGCTTAAAGCTACATACCGCTTCCCTAAAACGCCCGGAGCCTTGAGGCTTTCCTTTCTTTTAATCCAGAGGTTCCAAAACGGGACAGAGATGTGAGGAAGGCCCGCGGTCCTTCTCCTCGCCCGCCCGACGGCCGCGCGGCGGCTCCGAGCCGGGTTTCATAAGACACTAGGTGTAGCTGGGTTTCACGGGCGCCTCCCACGGCCGCCACGGGCTGGCTGACATCAGCAGCTCTTATCTGCTGACGCCTCCCGCTTCCACTCCTTCCGACCGAGCCCGAGCGGTGGGAGAGAGCGAAGTTCTCACCAGCAGATTTTCCCAGACGACAGCCTCATTTTTTAAACGGGGTACAGTGTGGATTCAGAGGATCCTCCTGGGAAGCACGCTGCTCTGGACGCAGGCAGAGATCTGGCCGGAGCTGGGAGCTGCCCGGGGAGCCATTTCTCCCCGGTTACTCACCCCGGACACCAACAGGTTCTACAGGAAGAGCCGCCGAGCAGCTCAGCTGTGTTTTCCTTGCGTCCATTCCCACACACATAAAAACCTGGGCCGGACTGGAAACCCGATCTCTGAAAGCCACCCCTCCCCCAGCTCTCACGGCGAAATCCTAGTGCCTTCGCCTCCACGCGCCGGCCCCCGCCGCCCCTGCATGGAGAGCAAACGCGCCTCCTGCAAGCAAAGCCCCACTTAAAAGGCGAGGGGCTTCCGCTACCGAAAGAATCTGAAATAAGTAGATGGCAACTGGGTTTGCAAAAGAAGTCGTGGACACGAGATTTTACCTCTGGAAGCAAAGCCGCTCCCATACCCGAAATCTTACAAGTTTATGCAAAATGTGACTCCATATATGTGCCTGTCATAGTGACTTGGAATGACAAACTTCGTTTGTGACATGGTTGCCACTAGGGTGCGGATGGAAGAGTGTACAAGGGGTAAGTGGTCCAGAAAACTCCATTACCAGTAATACTTTCTTTTATTAATAAAAACAAGATGAGGTAAATATGACAGAATATTAGTAATTGTCAATTTAAGTGGTTATGTAGGTGGTGTCATTTTCTTGGTACTCCTGTAATTTTAAAAACTTTAAAAGAAATGAAAACTTCTCAAATTAAAATAATGTGCTTACATAAAATGAACATGGGCCAGTCTACGTTACGCAAGAGCTCAATGTCCACCTCCTAATCATCGAGAGGCCTCTATTTTAGCCACTTATTATCATTATGATTCTTATCAGTGTTTGGGGTGCTAGGAAAATACTTCTAATTGTACCGGCATGAGAGCCAGCTGGCAGCTGGAAACCGGCTAGTTGTTCTTTTGAAATTTCTGAAATCATTCTTCCATTGCACTTTTAGATTATTTTTGTGCTCCTACTCTTGGGAAGGAGGGATGAAACTGAAAATGGCAACGGAGCTGAGGTGAAGGACTCACTGAGAGCTCCATCGTCCACGCAGCACTCCCAGGACAGCGCCCTGCACACAGCCGGCCACCGGCTAATTCTCATTCCCTTCCTCTTTGCCAGCATTTTCCATAGAGGATGAACCAGAGGCCCCTCCGCGACCCCGTCAAAATCACGCGGGGATTTCAGAACAATGGAAGGAGACGGGGACATTGGTCAAAGAGACATCTACCAGGCTGACCTGATGTGTTGCGGCGTCTGCATTAGAGAAATGGCCTATCATACAATAAGGAATACTCTAAGGCACTGAGATACAAGGGCTCTAAAGAAACCGTTCCGCATTCGAGGACAGAGGTGAAAGTTCAGAGGTAGAAGGAAGCAATGTTCTATTATTTGCAGAACAATTGGTGCCCATATAGGGTAGGACTATCACCAGGCATGATGTCTTAAGGGTAGGACAAGACTATTGTATATATTATTTATGCAAGTGTGTGTATACACAGACACATTTATAATTTTCACATTAAAATTGAAAACAATATTTTTTTCCAAGCCAAAATTACCATTCTTGGAGATTTAAAAGAAAAAATGAGTTTTGTTTGCCTTGTGACATAAAGCTAAGAATATGAAACTAGACTGTTTTCTAAAGTGATCATTAAACAGCATAACCATCATTTATTAGTACTTATGGTTGTTTCTGTGACACTCACTAGTAGCTATAAGTTAGAAATTGTACTGTTTTTGGAATCTATGGTGGAAATACTCATATGACAAAAATAAAACTATATATTAGGTCTACCAGATTTCTCTCTACCCAGCACCCATCTAGAATGATCAGTCGTGCCCTTCAGCATCAAAGGAAGGAAGTGAATGACAACAGATAAAATAATAGCTGAGATTAACTCTGAGACTGCAAAATAAATAAATAGACAGATAGATAAAATAGGGAAAGTAAAAGAGGAGCAATATAAACAATGATATTAACAAAAAAACAAAAAACAAAACACCTACAACAGGAAGAGAGTGTATCCTAACGTCAGTAATCATCCTGCCTTAAAAAGCAAAGTATCAAAATTTTAACTTTGACATAAAACCAAAGCAGAATCAAACCCTATTTTGAAAGTGAACGTATGTAAAATGTAATCACAATGATAGTCAGATGTAAAGGAAGCTGATGGTCTTAGATTAACTTTCGACATATTATTACACTTTATTGAATGAAATGCATGGGTTGACTATTTAAGCTATTTTCTTGAAATCTACAATCAGTTATTATAGACTTAAAGACCCAGAAGAAATCACCTCTTCGCCATCCCACCCCACGATCTCGATGGTTCCTAGTGCCTGAACCTGCCGTGGAACTGGGAAAAGACGACACGGAGTAGCAGTCACTTTAGGAGACAAGGTGATGCACCGCCAGCAGCTTGTGCAGTCATTTACTCAACCCTCTGGAATCAACAAGTATTTCAGTCCACCTTCTGCGTGAGAGGTCCCGTTCTTGGTGGCCAGTAATGGCCAGGCCCCCTCCCTTGTGGGGCTTACCTGCACCAGTCGGACCAAGTCAGACGGCCTTGGTTTGCATTCTGGTTGGGGCACTTGTGTTTTATTTGGCAAGCTGCTTAAGTTTCCTGAGTCTCAGTTTCCTTCTTTGAAAAGAGGGACCATCAGTGCCTGCCTCAGGGGGTTGTTGGGAGGTTGGGTGAGATTATGCTTGTGAGACACTCAGCCCGCTGCTTGGCTCAGAAGAAACATTTGGTAAGTGGTAAAGCTACTTGCATTTGTTAGAAAGACTGTCAGTTCAGTTGCTGGATTTTACCATGCCTTTGTGCGGATGGCGGGCAGCCACTTAATAGCAGAAGCAGAACAAGCTGCAGCTGTCTGGGTCCGTATCTGTCCTTCTACTGGTGAGGACCAGCCCAGTTACTCTGCGGTGACACCTGTAGCACTCAGGCTTCCAATGCTGTGAGCGTCAGCTCTGTAAGAACTGCTGTATTTCTGTTGATTTCATCGGTGGTTTCCAAATACACCCTCTAGGTAGGAAATGTGTTCACTGATCTTACAACATGGAGGTCACAGAGGAGGAGGGATGGGTGGGCCCAGGGCACACCCACCGGGAGACGCAACCTCCCTCCTGGCTTGGTACTCAGTGAAGGAACGTGCCCCGGCAGGTACAAAAATGCTTAGGAGTGTGCATCTGCCCCCGGCCAGAGGGACCTCCTGGGTTTCGAAAGACCGAGAAAAAGCCTTTGGACAGAAAGGATCAAACTGTCCTTTTGAAACTTGACAAATTGGAAATAGACACCGCCCAAAGGCTTAACACTAGGCAAGGACAGGAAAGATGTCATCGTGTTTTTTTTAAAATTTTTTTATAATAGCACTTACAATCTAGGTTAATCATTTAACTGCAAATTCACCTTGAAATGACTAAATCTGGGCTCCTCAAAGCTGTAGGTGTGACTGTATCTCAGTG